AGGGCCCAGGATCCCCAGGTGGCCAGGGTCAGGCGGGGGAGGGGACTGCTCCCAGCCTGTGTTGGGCACCTGTGTGTGTGAAAGAGGAGACACTGGAAGACATTCCCTTCCCCCAGGGCTGGAGAAAACAGCCCTTATCCTCCCGGAGCCCCAGCCTCCTTTCCAGGCCACCCCAAGGCGGGGGTGGGGGGTGGAGGGCGAGTCTTACCTAGAGGGAATGCCCCTGCCCCAGAGGACCACTCTGTGAGGTTACCTGGCTTTGCGCTGTGCTTCCTGGGTGTCACCTCTCTCCTCCCAGGAAGTCTCGGAGGCAGGTAAGTTAGGACAGTTGTCTCCTAGACGGGGAGGCTGCCAGGGTGGCAGGGTGAGGTGGGCAGGTGAGTCCTCACAGTGCCCTGAAAGTAGCTCCCTGATTTTCCTGCTTGGTGGGGTGTCTGCTAAGATTTGTCCTTAAAGAGGGGGCTTGGGGGCCCTCTGGTGCCATCAGCCCCCCCCCCCAGCCCTCCACTTGCTTGCTGATGACCTGAGAGTCTAGAAAGATGGTCCAGCGGGTCCTTCACTCCTGGACCTCAGGTCCCTCGTAGGCATCCACACCATTCAGGAGCAACTGGCCTTGGGAGCTTGGAAGAGCCCGGTGCAGCTGAGATCCTGCTCAGACCTGCACTGCAGGCGACCTCGGAGAAGGATGAAAGGCTTTTCCAAAGCACACCACTCCTAGGGACCATCTAAGTGACCCTGTCACTACTGCAGCCCCTGGCATGAGGTCTGATGGCTCCAGGGCTCCCTGGGACCCCAGGCTGCTCACCTCCCCACCTAGAGACCTCCCTGAGTGAGTGCCACGCTTGGGCTTAAGGTCCCGTCCACAGTTTGTTTTGTACCAAATGTCCTCCCCTCCTGGGACACTTTTTTTTTTTTTTTTGGTTCCAGAGATTGAACCCAGGGGTGCTTAACCACTGAGCCGCATCCCCAGCCCTTTTAAAAAATGTTTGATCAGAGACAGGCTCTCACTGAATTGCTAAGTGCCTCGATAAGTTGCTGAGGCTGGCTTTGAACTTGCAATCCTCCTGCCCCAGCCTCCCAAGCCACTGGGATTACAGGCATGCGCCACCGTGCACAGCCAGGAACACCATTTCTCCCCTGCTTTGCAGATGGCCATTCACGCTTCAGGGCTCTCCCAGGGCTTATGAAACTCCACTCCCAGCCTCACCTGCAGGGTCACTGACCACAGGCACACCTGCCTCCCCTGAGAGGCTGCAGGACCAGATTCCCCAGGAGCTGGATGTTGCTCCCCCCAGTCCCTCCTGAGACTGGGAAATAACAGGTGCTCAATAAACTCCTCTTCAGTGAGTGAAGAAATGCCCCGGATGGGTGACACCCATTTCCCTGTTGGGGCAACTGAGGCCGAGGGGGTTGGCAGAACCCCTACAGGCAGAGGCTAGGCTCTGGCTGAGACCAGAAGCCAGTACTCCGGTCCACTCCTTTGTTGTTTTGCTTGCTTTTAAGAGCACCCTGTGCCCCACAGGTGATTCACGTAAACAGTATTTTCAAAAGCCCATAAATTGCCCCTGTGTTCAGCTCCACGGAAAGCACAGCCTCTCATACAAGCCGCAGGCACAAACAGGGCCAGCCCAGAAGGGTGGCACCTGGGCCCAGGGGCCAATGAAGATCTGGGCCGGCTTCCTGGTTCCTCTCTGGCACCCCGAGAAGGCACCTCTTCTTCCCTTGTCTTCCACCCTCGGGAGAGTGTGGTTCATCACCCGAGGGTGCCTTGTAAAAGCTCAGCTTTAATGAATCAATCACTGAGCTAGGAATCGGTTACTGTGAGCCCCGCGGCCCCCTCCCGTGGATGACTGGCACACTAATGAGTGCCAATTATTTCAGCATTAATAATTAATCTCCAACCGCACTGGGGAAGGACTGGGAAGTACACAGGATTGACTCAGCTCCGCAGGTCAGCCCGCCACCCAGCGCTGCTCCCCGTCTTCCCCCGGAGGAGCCGACGGGGCCTCACGGTCAAGGGTCTTCTTTGCTCTTGTGGGGTGAGAAGGCAGCCTCTCAAGGTCAGTTAGGAGCAAGACTAAGCCCCACTAGGGCAGGGCTGTGTCTGCTTGGACGCTGGGGACAGTCCCTGGCATATAGTAGGCGCTCCATAAGTGCTGTTTGGTTGGCGGTCTCATCCAGGTCCAGCCACTCAGTGGTTACCCAACCTCAGTCAGCCTTCTCTCTGTCTTTGGCCTCCGTTGTACTCATCTGGATTGGGCGAGATGCCCCAGCATCCTCTCCCCTCGCAGGGTTGTGCTGTGGCTGGGTGGTCCTGGCAGGGAGGCAGGGAGGCCCTTGGAGGCTGGGGTGGCAAGTGATCCAGAGTCGGCCTCATGGCAACCTCAGGTCCCAGGCAGAGACCCAGGTGGTACTGCTGGCCTCCACTTACAGGGGTCATTCTGAATGTCTCATGGGGGACAGGGACCCTCGCTGTGGTGGTAGGACAGAAGGCTGGCTTCCGAGCGCTGGTCCACCATGGGCCCTCCCCCACCCGAGGGCCCACTGCACAGTGTGGTTGGAGGGGAGGTGGCTGGCGTGGTGGGGCAGGGACCCCTCTGGGTCAGTGACTCAGGGAAGCACTATGCTGTCCTCCATGGTTTGGGGGAGGCAGGCTCTTGGAGGCTAGTGGTTGGGGGCTGGGTGGTGGGAGTCACTGCGGCCCATGGAGGACCTTCTCAGGGTTGCTTAGGTCTGAGAACTGAGAAGCCCCATCTCATTCTAGAAATGGGGAAGCCGAGGCCCAGGGCAGGGCTTTGCCTTGCCTGAGGCCCCACAGCTAAGGAAGCTCCATTTAGTAGCTCAGCTGCATCCAAATATTTGTTCCTGTGCACAGGGGAGGAGGCCCCTTCTTGTCATCCTCACCAGGCACCGTGATATACCAAAGTGTGCATGTGGCTCTTGAGGGTGAGAGGGAGAAGGGGATAGTAGTCACATGGAGGGCTTCCTGAACGAGGCAGTCCCCAGGCACCTTCTTACAGGGTCCAGCCTGGGCCTGGGGGCTCCTTACCACTATCCCTGCTCCTATGGCTTCCCCAGAGGGTAGGTACAAAGGCCAGACACTAAGGAAGGTCTTCAGGCAGACCACGACATGACTTTCTAGACTAGCTCTGCCCTAGCTGTGTGCCCTATGGCTGGTTGCTCAACCTTTCTGTGCCTGAGTTCCTTTATCAGACAGGGAAATGAAAACATGCTATTTCCATCCTAAACTCCTTCAGAAGAAATGACATCATAACACTAACCAGGCCAAAGTGGCACTGTTTGCCCCAGAGCAAACAGTGTTAGCTTGTTCCGTATCTTTAGCCCTAAATTAGCAGGTGCCCATGGAGTCCCCTCTGCCATCTCGGGGTCACAGAGCTGGGTGTGGACTGGTGAGCGATGCTAACGGAAGCCGAGGACAACACGCACTTGGATCTCTGGTCTGTCGTGGGACTGGGATGCCCGGGGCCTGTCCCCAGGGAGGCAATCGGCCTGCAGAGAGCTGGGGACCCTGCCTTCACACAGCCAGGGCAGCGTGTGGCCACATCCACAAGCGAAGCCGGGTTTTCACATTTTTAAATGGCTGCACACGAACCCCAAGAATGATAGTGCATGATGTGGAACCGGCAGGACACTCAAACTGACTGCCTGTAGATAAGGCTGGGTTGGAATATGGCGACCTCGATCCTTGTGCATCACGGAGACCCACGTGGCCTGCAGACCCACAGTGTGCACTGTCTGACCTTCCCAGACATAGTGGTCTGGGCCCTGATCTAGAAGGCTCCTTGGCAGGGCAGATGTCCCAGAAGGCACTGAAGTGGCCCCCACCCTCCTCCTGGGAGGCCCCCATCCCCGCAGCCTCCCTACTGCGGTGGGGGGAGAGGTGGACCTGTGGCCCTGGCTGAGACAATCACCGTCCCCGCACATTGAGTGTGTCTGTCCTAAGTATTTAGAATAAGGGCCTGGAGGGCCGAGGGTGGGGCTCCTGGATCTTGAGAGCCTTCCTAGGGCCTGGTGCCAAGTGCCAGGAGGTTGGTACCAAAGCCCCGTGACACCACCTCACACCACTGAGATGGCCACTGTCAAAACAGCAGAAATGGCAATGGTAGCGAAGACCTGTGACCTGGAGCTTTAGTTTGGGAGGATGAGCGCCGTGTTGGTGGGAACGTGACCGCGGTGGGGATCAGTAGGCAGTTTCCTCAAAAAATGCAAACAGGACTGGGCATGGTGGCCTGGCCTTACAGAGACGGGAGGACTGCTCGGGCCCAGGGGTGCAGAGTGGGCCTCGGCAGCACAGTGAGACCTTGAATCAAACAAAACGAAACAAAACAAAAACCCCCGCACCAAACCAAAAACAAAACCCTACAATCCAGAAAGTTCACTTCTGGATTTATATTCAAAAGAATCAGAGCCAGGCACACGCCTGTCATCCCAGCGGCTTGGGAGGCTGAGGCAGGAGGATCTCCAGTTCAAAGCCAGCCTCAGCAAAGGTGAGATGATAAACAACTCAGAGATAGCCTGTCTCTAAATAAAATACAAAATAGGGCTGGGGATGTGGCTCAGTGGTTCAGTGCCCCTGAGTTCAATCCCATGTACGAGAGAGAGAGAGAGAGAGAGAGAGAGAGAGAGAGAGAGAGAGAGAGAGAGAGAGAGAGTGTGAGTGTCTTACATGCAATAGAATATTATTCAACCTTGAAAAGGAAGGGCATCCCAACACCTGCAATGGCACGGATGAACTTGAAGACGCTGTGCTAGTGAAGTAGGCCAAAGTGACTAGTGCGGTATGTCCTCTGGAATGAGATACCCGCAGGGGTGGGTCCAGGGAGGGCAGGGCGTCACTGTTGGACAGATGCAGAGCTTTAGTTTGGGAGGATGAGCAAGCCGGGGGTTGGATGGATGGTGGCCACAGTTGGACAATATGCACCTCCTACCCTGAAGCACACACTCAGGAATCCTAGATTGTATGTTAGGAATATTTTAATTCAAATTGTACCAGCTTGGGTACAGTCCCAGGGCTCAGAGACTCAAGTGGGCCCCCTCTATGCAGCCTAGACTCTCCCCTTACATGCCTGGAGCAGGTGAGCAGGGTGGCTCTGAGTGGGTTCCCTTCACCAGGCGCCCGACAGGCACTTTCCTGTCTCATTGTATCCTCAGAAAAGTCCTCCAGGAGCCGGGCACAGTGATGCACATCTGTACTCCCAGTGGCTCAGGAGGCTAAAGGAGGAGGACCAAAGTTCGAGGCCAGCATCAGCAACTTAGTGAGGCCCTCAGCAACTTGGTGAGACCCTGTCTCACAATAACAAATAAAAAGGGGCTGAGGGTACAGCTCAGTGGTTATGAGCTCCTGGGTTCAACCCCCAGTTTTAAAAAAAAATTCCTCGAGGAGACACGAGCTCTGTGAATTCCTGCTGTCCTTGGGTGGTCTCCAGGCTCCAGACCAAAGGCATCTGGGAAGGTCTGGAGCTGGAGCCCTGCCCGTGGGGACTCTGAGGTCCAGGGGCTTTGAGGAGGGGCCAGGAGGTTGCCAGGACCTGTCAGCCAGGGCTGGCATCTGTCCCTAAACTCTTGTCTGGAATTCCCTGCTTGGGCCTTGACCATGGGCCCCTGGCAGCGGATGGGCAGAGCCCAGTGGAGGCCAGTGTCCAGGACAGAGTGGGCAGCTGTCGGGAGAGCAGCGGAGATGGGAGGTCAGGTGAGCCAAGAATGCAGATGGCACGTGGTCCACGCTGTGGCCGTTCACATGCGTTCTCCGAGCCAGAGGCTGTCCTGATGCACGTTGGAAACACTGTCCCCGTCTGGGACCCAGGAGGCTGAGGCTGGGGGGGTCAGGGAGGCCGTCCTGGTGGAGGTGGTCCCTGGGCTTCATCTTACAGGACAGACAAGAGTCAGCCAGGGAAGAAGGGCAGGAGGATAGGTCTTTTGGGAATTGGATACAGCAGTAGCCAAGGCCCAGAGCAGGGTCCCCAGGTACCCTTCCCCTTCTGCTCATGGAGGAATGCATAGCCCTCGCCTCCCAGCCTATTTCCAGCCCTGACCTCCCACTTCCCCCTCCAGGCCTTGGGCCTCACCCCATCCCAATTTATCAGGGTCTTGAACAGAATGAATTAAGAACACCTCTCCAGCTGGGTGAGGTGGCTCTCACCTATAATCCCAGGGCCTCGGGAGGCTGAGGCAGGAGTATCCTAAGTTTGAGGCCGACCTGGGCAGCTCAGTGAGACCTTGTCCAAAATCCAAAGGGCTGGGTGTGTAGCTCAGTGGTAGAGCACCCCTGGATTCCATCCCCAGTACCCACTCTCCACAAAAAGACTGACTCTTCAAAAGGACGCTTCCATCTTCTTTATATACATATTCATTCATTTTCTTATATTTAATTTATAGATAGTGTCTCACCATGTGGCCCAGGCTGGCTCTGAACTCCTGGGCTCCAGGGATTCTCCTGCCCCAATCTCCTGAGTAGCTGGGGACACAGGTGTGCACCACCATGGCTGGTTACATTTTCTTTTTGAAAAACAAGAGCAGGGCTGGGGTGGTGGCTCAGCAGTGGAGCACCTGCCTTGCACGTGTGAGGCCCTGGGTTCGAATATAATTTACTGGTGGTTTCCTGATCATGAACCTAGGGCATAAGAACTGAGGGATTGGGAAAGCACAGGAAAATAAAGAGAATCAAATAGAACTTCACCAGTAATCCCAGCTGCCTGAGGGTGCACCCAGGCAACGGGCTGATGGATTTGCCCACGTGTGGGGCTGGACAGCAGGTGCAGTGTGCACAGCTTAGTTTTTTTTTTTTTTTTTTGGTACCAGGGATTGAGCCCAGAGGCGTTTAACCACTGAGCCACATCCCCAGTCCTTTTTATGTTTTATTTATAAATAAAATGTAGCCTGAGGGACCCTGGGCAGTATGCAGCCCACAGTCTCTGCCCTGCAGGGCCACCTGGGTCCCTGACTCCCAGCTGCCCTTGGGGTTCCTGGGGCTTCCCCGCGGCCAGCCTTGCCCGGGCTCCTTGTTCTGCAGCACACTGATGCTGGCTGGCTGCATGAGTTCCCTCCAGCCTCTTGGGCCACCTGTACGGCCACTGCCTTGATTGCGGTTTGGGGCTCCTTGGTTGGTGGCTGTTCGGTGACAGAGCTGCGGTTTCCCCTGTCAGTAGCAGGAAGGGTGTGTGATTAAGGTGATCTGCATAAGGTGGTTGGCACTCAGCACCTGCCATTGCTGGTGTTAATCACTGTGAGCCGTGGGTGAACAAGGAGTGGAGGTGGGGAACAGGGAGAGCTGGCTCCAGCCCCGACCTTCCCGACATTGGCCCTTCATCTCCACGCTCATCTGTGAATGTTCCATTACTCAGTGTCTTAAATTAAGATGCTAATCACTGTCATTCCATGATGAGGGTGTGGGGCCTCCCAAACAGAGGGAAGAGCATGTGCAAAGGCCCGAGGCACCAGAGCCCAGAGGAGTGAAGGAAAGTGAGCAGGAGAGTGCACCCTGACCAGAGGTCAGAGAGGCAGTGGCTTGTGTGGAGCCCCTGGGTGGTTTGGGGCAAGAACACTGTGTGATCTGACTTATTTTCATAAGATTCCATCCCCCTAGCTTCTATGCAGAGAATGGACCTTAGCAAGCGAGAGGGGCGATGCCCCCACCCGATGTTCCTAATGTCCAGGTCAGGTATGAAGATGGGCAGAAGAGTCTGACCAGGCTGGACCTAAAGGCAGGACAGGCAGCTTTGGACAGGGCTGGGCTAAAGGCGGAGGTATAGATGGGAAGGAAGAGGCCCATGCAGGAGGCTGACCGCTCTGATTGCTGAGCATCGTCCCTGGGGTGGGCCAGGCTGGGAGCTCCAAGGACTGCTGTAGCCTCCCTTGCAGCCTGCAGGGTGCCATGAGGGACCTGCCTGCACGGCCCTGACCCTCCCTGCCTAGACTGTCCTGGAGTCAGGCTGCAGAATCAGCCGGGCCTTCCTCTCTGTGACACCAGCCTCCCGTCGTGGGCCTGGAAGACAGCGAGCAACCTCACATACCTCCTCCTGTTTCAGCCTCATTTCTTGTGAAAGAGGATCCTGAGCCTTCTGTGGGGCAGAACCCCTGGGCTCCCATACGCTGGTACCCAGGAGAGACCAGGCAGGTGTGCATGGCGCAGGCTTGCACTTGCTGGTTCAGGGAGATGCTGCCTGCTGTGGGGTGAGCCAGGCACTGGGAGCAGCCGGGCAATGCTTTGGAGAATCCATCCCAGGCAGGTCCCGCCTGCCTCAGAGTAGGTCCCAAACCTGCAAAATGAAAGCCAGGGGATTTCCTTCTGGGGCACCGTCAAGAGGTTGAAGTGGCTCGACACAGTGGCGCACGCCTGTCATTCCAGCAACTCGGGAGGCTGAGGCAGGAGGATTGCAAATTCAAAGCCAGCCTCAGCAACTTAGCCAGGCCCTAAAGAACTCGGTGAGACTCTGTCTCAAAATAAAATGTAAAAAGGGCCGGGGATGAGGCTCAGTGGTTAAGTGCCCCTGAGTTCAATCCCTGGTACCCAAGAAACAAACAAAAGCCAGAATTCCTGGCACATATTGATTGTCCTGGAGCAGCTGGGATTCTGTCTCTCGAGTCCCCCCAGCTCTGACCTGTCCCTACACTTACACAGGACATTCCATGGGCTGCAAGGAGGGGCTGCTGGGTGGGCTAGGAACATGGCTGTTCAGATAAGATCCGCTGTGCAGAGCTGGCTCCCAGGTACCCAGGAGACCTTACAAACCCCTGGGGCCTGGGTCCATCACTACGTCTTAGGAGGAACGGAAGGTCCTCAAGTCGTCTAATGTAATGTGTTCACTGACTGCTGGTGAAGGGAGGCCCAGAGACATTGCTGGACTTCCCCAAGGTCACACAGAGACTAGAAGACAAGTAAGCATAATCTCAGCCAACAAATTCAAGGACACCCAGTTAACCAGAGGCTGGGAATCTCTTCTTCCTCCCGTCCTCCCTTCCCTTCTTGTCACTCAAGAAAAATTTATTTGAGTATCACCCAAGGCCAGCTATGCCCTCAGAAATTCCTAGGCTGTGAGAGTCTCCTCCTGGGGGTGAGGGGCCCTTGGCCCCTCGGAAGGGCGGGCTTGTGGGTAAACTGCTGGGATGAGCTATTTCTAAGGTAGGAAACGAGAAACTAGATCAGCGAGCCCTAGGGAAGGGCTGTGGTTGGCACAGAAATACCCGTTCCCGTCAGGAGGCAGGCGGGGCAGGGGGCTCCTCCCACCGCTGAGCCCACAGCCTGCTCCTCAGGGGTCCTCTGGGGTCCCAGAGAAAGGAGCAGGACTTGTCCTCGGAACCTCATTTCAGACTGTGTGAACTCAGGCCAGGCGGGGAGGCCAGAAGTGCCTGCAGCCGGTGGCCTGCACCTGGGCGCCATGTTCTGTCTGTCTGTCTGTCTGTCGGGCTGACTGCCTGCCTTACTCATCTGGGCCCTGAGTCACCTGTTCCTGAACAGAGGTGGACACCAGAGGTGGGCCTGACTCATTTCTGCACGCGGACCTGCCTGCCCCAGGAACTCAGGAGGCCTAAGTGGGCTTCCTGGGGAGAGCAGAGGACCCAGGTGGTCACCCCAGGTCGGGTGAGCCGGGTGGAGTGGCCTGGGGAAGAGAATGCATTTCACCTGGGGCTCAAGGCTGTGAGTGCCAAATCTGGGCTGCCTCCGTTTGAATCTCAGCTCCATAGCTGTGTGTCTGTGGGCAAGTAAGTCCCCCTCTCTGAGCCTCAGTTTCCTCCTCTGCAAATGGGGCTAACAATAGTAGCATGCCTTATGGGGTATAGAATTAAATGGGATAAGGCATACAAAGTTCTTGGTGCATACTAAGTGCACAATGGGTGTTAGATGTCCACCATCGTCACTGACGCTGTAATCAGAAGAAGCAGATGTGGGTCTGGCACCCAGGAGCTCAGGCAAAGGGAGGGAGTGGGGCCGGAGCAGAGGGTTCCCTGGGGACTGGGGGAAGTGGGAGGGGAGGGCTGAGGAAGGAACTCTCCAGGCACAGAAGGGTCGGGGGACTGAAAGGAGGACACGCCACCCAGAGGTCTGCGCCCACCACGTTAGCCCCTGCCAGGCCTTTATGAGCCCCCCACCCCCCCACTGCTCTCTTCTTCTTATTTTCTTTTTTTTTCAATTTTAACAGCATCCTTGAGATAGAGCCCCCACACTGGGCAGTTCCCTGCCCTTCACTTAAAGTGGACAATCCATTGATTTTACAATATATTTACAGAATTGTGCAACCATCACCACAATCAGGTTTTAAAAATCCTCATCACCCCCCAAACCCCTTCCAGATCCACTAGCGGTCACTCCCCCTCCCCATCCCCCAGCTCTAGACCCCAGCTGCCTTCTGTCCCTACAGATTCCCTTCTTCTGGACATTTCATGTAAATAGACTCTACAGTGAGTGGCCTTTGGGGTCTGGCTTCTTTCACTGAGTGTGATGTGTTCAAGGTTATTCATGTACCTGGATTTTTTTTTTTTATACCAGGGGTTGAACCCAGGAGTGCTTAACCACTGAGCCACATCCCCAGCCCTTTTTTAAAATTAATTTTTTAGAGACAGGGTCTCATTGAATTGCTTAGGGTCTCACTGAGTTGCTTAGGGCCTCACTAAATTGCCAAGGCTGGCTCTGAACTTGTGATCCTCCTACCTCAGCCTCCCGAGCCACAGGGATTACAGGTGTGTGCTACTGTGCCCAGCCTTCTTTTCCTTCTTATGGCTGAATAATATACCTTTTCTTGGCCATATCACACTTTGGGTATTCATTCATCTGTTTGTAGACATTCATTCGAAGAATACTGTTGAGCCTTCATGTGGGAGTTCTTGTGTGGGCCTCTGTTCTCAGTTCTCTTGGAAATATACACTTAGCAGTGGACTTGCTGGGTCATATAGTAGCTCAAAACTTAACTTCTTGAGGGACTTCCAAACTGTTTCCCAATGCCATGTTATCTTCCAATCTCTCCCTATCTTCAGCACTTCTTATCACCTTATCCTGCCCTTCTTCTGCAACAAGAACTTGGTGTGCATGACCTCATTTGATTGGTACAGTCACCCTAGTGGGTTTGAAGTGGTATCTCATTGTGGTTTTGATTTGCATTCCCCGGATGTTCAAAGATTCGAGCATCTTTTCATGTGCTTAATGCACATTTGTGTATTTTCTTTGAAGAAATGTTTGTCCAGATCCTTGCCCATTTGAGACTGGATAATTTGTCTTTTTATTATTGGGGTGTAAGAGATCTTAATCTAGCCTAGCTATAAACCCCACATCAAAGTGTATAATTGCCAAACATTTTCTCTTGTTCGGTTTCTTTCCCCATTGTTTAAATGTTGCTCTTTGATGCATGAAAGTTGAAGTTTTGGTGTAGTTCTCTTTATCCATGTTTTCTTTGGCTGCTTCTGTGGTGTTAGATCTAAGAAGATATGCCCTAATCCAAGATCACGAAAACCTACACCCGTGTTTCCTCATGAGAGTTTTCTGGTTAACAATTACGTTTAGGTCTTTGGGTTGATTTTTGTGTATGGTGTGAGGTAAGGGATCTAACTTCATTCTCCTGCACGTGGATAGCCGGTTGCCCCAGGACCATTTACTTAAAAGACTATTATTTCCCAACTGCATTGTCTTGACACTCTTTTAAAAAACAAGATGACCAGAAATAGGAAGGTTTACTCTGTGTCACGGACTCTATCCCATCCCTCTCTTTGTCTAAGCTTATGCCGCTAACAAACTGTCTTGTTTGCTGTAGCTCTGTAGGAAGTTTTGGAATGTGTAAGTGGGAGTCCTTAAATTTTGTTTCGGTTATTCTGGGTCCACTGATAGCCAAATGGATTTTAGGATCAGCCTGTCACTTTTTGCAGAGGAACCAGCTGGAATTTCGATGGAGACTGCTTGAATCTGCAGAACCACCTGGGGAATATGGCTGTGTCAGCAGGTCCATGAATATGGGATGTCTTTCTGTTTGTTTAGGTCTTAACTTTATCTCTTTCAACAAAGTTTTGCAGTTTTCGGAGAAATAATTTTGTGCTTTTTTTTCTTGAATTCATGTGCTCAAAAATGTTTGCTACTATGACAGATGGATTTTTTCTTCCCTTAACTTTCAAATTGGTCATTCCAAGTGTGTAGAAATAGAAATTGCTTTCGTATATGGATCTTGTAGCCGGCAGTCTGGCTGAACTCATTTATTAGTTATAAGAGTTTTGTTGGTGGATTCCTTAGACTCTTCTGTGTAGGAGGTCACGGCATACACCAGTAGAGGTGATTTTTACTTCTTCCTTTCTGGTCTCGGTCCTTTGATTTCATCTTGAAGTGGAAGTTCCCTGGCCAGACCGTCCATCTGTCCACAGAGTCCTGGGCTGCTGTGCTCAGCTCCACGCATACCTGGGTAGTTCCAGCTCTATGCACGCATGTGCACACACCCGTGCACACACACCCTGCCTCTGACTTCACCTGCCCTTGCCCCATCCCCTCACCTTTTATTGCTAACCTGTGCTGATGCCTCCCTCCATCTTGACTCTAATACTTTCTAAATCCTGTTCTCTCCCTCCCCTAAAACACTCTTCTTGGTTCAACTCAGGACCTGTTCCCCTCCACCCAGATTGTGTCCTTAAGGGAAGCACTATCTTTCTTTTCCTCGGGTGTCCTGGACAGGGCTGCTGGATATGAGTATATGTGGTCCTGTTGGGGAAATCCCAAGGCCAGTCAGTTGGAGGAGAAGAGATCTTCAGGGTCAAGGCCATCATGAATGGAGACTGAGGCAGGCTCTGGGGTGTGAGACCCTTGGAAGGATAGGCAGGCCCTTTATCAGGGGGTCTCAATGCTTGGGACAGGGGGACAGTCCTGAGGTCAGCAGGGCAAGAGTGAAGCAGGGTGGGTTAGAAGACCATTCTAAGGTGCTTCCTCCCAGGTTTGGGGTATCTTGGCCGAGAAGTCCCCAGAACCACTGCTGGGAAGCTCTGTGGACTTCAAGTTCAGGACGGTAGCCAGGAGAGAGACTGGGGGTGGGCAAGAGCTCCAGGCTCCACTGGGGCAAAGAATTCCATAAAGCACTTGGGGAGAAATGCCAGGTTGACCTTCAGCCAGTCCCAGTGTTCAGCTGATGTCCCCAACTGGGGAGATAGTGAGATGACCAGGAGGAGCCAGCGAGGGGTCACTGAGCACCACTTGGATGGTCCGACTTGTATCTGCTTTTTCTGTCGATCAGCTTGAGGTTCTGCCATGGTGTGGAGGCCGAGAAGCCTTTTTAACAGGATGTGTGGCGAACTCTCTCGGGCACCCTGGTGAACCGAATGAGGAAGTGTGTCCATTTAAAGATGGCGGCTTCCTTTGTTTTATCTTTCTTTCTTTTTCTTTTTTGATCATAGAATTTACCACTTTTATGTTCACCCCAAAGGAACTCTCCAGGGCCCTGGGGCCTGCCCCCAACACTTCACCTGGATCAAAGTAAACACCCCAAAGACCTCCAGAGTTTCCCAAACCTGGCTCATCCTGGGTTAAGCAAAGTCTAAAAACTTCTCCCCTGCAGGACTTCTCAGAGTCTTGATTTGCTCTGAAGTTTTCAAGAAGGGACTAAAACACCGTTTCTCACTCAGTCTGACGCGTGAATTGCATTTCCCTTGTGGCATGTCCTGTGGTCTAGGGATCCCCAAGTCTCACCCCGGGAAGCCACAGGAGGCCAGGGCTCAGGTCCAAAGTCAGGAGGAAGAGTTCTCTGGGGGAAAGGAACAGGGACACCTAGTGCACATTTGTCCCCACACTGAGTGTTGCGTTTCCTGTGGACTCAGATACACACACACACACACACCAGGACGAATAAAAGACATCTGGCCCCCTCCCCCGACCCACCAGGGCCTGCGGTGTCATCTGGGAAGGCAGAGCAGGGCCTCAGTGGCCTGATTTCCAAGATTTTAGCCACCTCTGCATTTAGTTCCTTTTATGAGGATAATGTATTCATTTACTTGCAAAAAAAAAAATTAATTACAATGCAAAAGGTTTAAAAAAAAAAAAAAAAGAAAAGAAAAGATTCCCAGGGCCTGGCAGGCAGGCTCCTCTCAGGAAACATAAACTCCCACATTTAGGTTTCCCACTTGCAGACATTTCCTGGGACGGCCCAGCCAAGCCCAGGCCTGCAGGCAGAGTGAAGAGAAGCCCTGGGCTCAGGGTCCCGGGCCAAGGGCCAAGGGCGTAGGGGAGGCCAGTGGGGAAACAGATGTTCCTTGGACTTGGGGAGGAAACTGGGAGCCCAGGGGGAGGGAGGGGCTGGGCTGTGGAGCTGGGGAGGGGACCTGGGAGGGTGGCTTCATAAGGGAGGGGCTCTGGGCATCCTGAAGGGTGCTCAGGAGTTTTTCACATGGGAAGGACATTCTAGGGGAGAGAACCACAGAGGTCAAGGCTCAGTATTACCATAAAAATGGCAGATGGGGCTGAGGCTCAGGGGCAGAGCACAGGCCTTGCATGCTGGGGGCCCTGGGCTTGATCCCCCAGCACCCCAGAAAGAACAGAAAACAAATGAGTATATATAGTGCATAGAGATTCAACTTTCATCCCTTGCTATTGACTTCACAGCACTATCATGTGCTAGGTCCTATGTTGTCCCAATTTATAGATGGGAAAGGCCTGGGAGCAGACATTCCCGGGCCCAGGTTTCCAGTGTGTGCAATGGAGAGAAGACCCCAAGTCTCCTGCAGGGGCTGCTGTGTGGGACAGTGGCCTTGACAGTTGGCACATAGGAGCAGATGAGACTTAAGCCAAAGGCACCAAAGTTGGACAGGCCTTGGGCCCTCCAGGCTCTGATGAGGTCCCCTTTAGGGATCACAAACCCGTCCAGAGAGCCCTTGAGGCAGCTGTTATAAAGGGGACGTACTAGTCTGAAGCACAGAGGGGAGGTGACCTGCCCATGGTCACTGGTGGGGGGTGGGTTGGACTTCACACTGGGGCCTCCCCTCTCTATAAGGAAGTCTGTTCCTGGTTTCCCCCAGAGGGATGGAGACACCTTGAGGCCTGGGGAGGCCCAGGACGCTTCCTGCCATAGGGCCCTGCCTCTGCCCGCCACAGAGTGGCGCTCAGGACAACCCAGGGCTGCTCTCCCTCCTTGGCTGGGGAGTTCAATCCCTCACCAAGGACACCTGCCCATCCTGCTGCCCAGGCGCTCCGGCCTGGTGAACCCAGAATTTGGACAGGGCTGAGTGTTTGGCTCACTTCATCCCCAACACACAACATTCGGGGCATGGGCTCCCAGAAGAGATGTCCTCCCTTGCCCCCTTGCTGTCCCCAGGCCAGAGCCTGTGGCTGGCTGCCCTCCCCTGCCCAGCCACACGCCGATAACCCCTATCGCTGTTGTGTCTTGCTGTTGGCTGGGGGCTTCTCGATCCCAGCTGTGCTGGGGACTGGCCAGGGCAGGCTCAGTGCCCCTTGGCCCAATCCTTGCCACCAAGGTCCCTGCTCCCCAGAGGCAGGAGAATCAGCTCAGAAATGTTTCCAAACTGGCAGAGCCGTGCATGCTGCCCAAGATCCTGAGGGCCTGCTATGGGGGGACCTCTGTGTCCCCAGGTTACCTGCTCTCACTTGTCACATGGCATGAGAGGTCTTCCTGGACGGTCAGGCTATATGAATGGGGACTCTATAATGAAACCAAGGAAGCCACAGGCCCTGTCTTCTGCTAGAGTCTCGGAGGCCTGTTGCTCTGGACGTCCTGAGTGCTGGCTTTCTCCCTGCTCACAAGGGCTTGGTGGACCGGGGTCCCTCCTGCAGCTGACAGGGACTGGCAGGGCCAGCCTGGGGCACACTGCAGTCGTGGGCTCATGCAGGATGCCCACCCCTTGGCCGAGGCCCACCTTGGATGGCTTCAGGGTGCCCCTATGTTTTAAGCCTTTCCGGTGTGGCCCACCCTGGCAGTGACCCTGACCCCTCCCTCCTTGCAGTGGGCCTTGATCCTAGGAGTCTCAGGTCCCCTGGAGTGAGGAGGAATGTCAGATCTGCTGAGCCTGGGGGCCTTATAAAGGTAGACATTTAAAGCGGGAGGGCCCTGACCTCTGGGGATGACAATGAGGATGCTGCAGCTGAAACTGGGGTTCAGGGCCAGGTGACCTAAGTTTGTCACATTAAGGTCACACAGTGGAAACAGGCACTGGGAGAGCCACAGAGGACAGACTTTCCCATGGGGACTTGGTGGCCGCCGCCAGCGTGACCCTGTGACCTTGGCATTCCTTCATGGTTGGGTCTGTGATCTCCCTCTGCCCTATTGTGTGTGTGGGGGCCCCTCCCCTCTCCTGCACCTCACCCCCCAGGTTTTAGTGACTCAAAATTTAACCACCTCCAAGTGATGGCCTCTTGGAAAGACACTGTCCCACTGGGCTGTATTTCAGCCTGGGACCAGGGGGAGGTGTGGGCTTCAGGCTTGGCTCTGTCTGGGCTGGCTGTGGCATCTGGGTAGGTGCCCCGCCCCTCTGGTGAGCTCTGGCTGTGTGCCTGGCACCTGCCCTGCCCTCTGCCCTGGGCCGGGTCCCTGTGACCAGCAGAAGCTACCTGAGGAGGCAGGAACCAGTTAGGATTCTCATTTGACCAGTAAGGACATTGAGGAGCAGCTCTGGGTAATCTGCCCCAAACCACAGCTGGTCAGAGCCGGGTTAAGTCCAAGACCACCACCCCAGGACCCAAGCCTGAGCCACCTTGCTGACGCAGCAGGGGGCCAGGCACTCGGCCACCTCGGGCCTCAGTGCTCTCATCTGCAGGATGGGGCATAACACGCTGCTCCAGGGCTGAGTTGGCACAGAAATGGGAGGGGAGGGGGGACCCGGAATGCAGGGCCCCAACCTGGCCCCACTCAAGGGTCTGGGGATCTCTGAGCCCTACCCTTGCCCTGCCCCATCCCGGGAGTAGAGCCTCCTTGCAAGAGCCTGGGACTTGGCCAGGTATGGTGGCGCTGGCCAGGTATGGTGGCGCTGGCCTGCAATCCCTGTGACTTGGGAGGCTGAGGCAGAGGGATTGTGAGTTCAAAGCCAGCCTCAACACTTAGTGAGGCCCTAAGACTCTATCTCTAAATCAAATATAAAAAAGGTCAGAGGCAGTGGCTCAGTGGTTGAGGACCCCATGTCACCAAAACAAAAACAAACAGCAGTTACTTTTGCATTGCTTTGGCAGCCGAGAGGACCAGCTCAGGGGTTCCCCTCACTGCTGGCTGCCCTCTGCCTCCAGAAGCCCTGACCCCATGCGATGGTCCCTCCAAGCTCCTCCCAGAGAGGCAGGAGCCACAAGGTGACCTTAGTTCACACCTCCCTCTCCCTCCCTGTCCCCAGCTCTGCCTGGATGCCCTCCACCAGGTCTCTGCAGCTCTCTGGCATCGAATCCTGTGGCCTCCCCTAGAGGCTCTTCCCTCTGGCCTCATGTCACTTTACCCCAGCGAGGATTAGAGGCTGCAGCCTCACCGGTTCCTAGGCAGAGTGTTGGGGCCTCAGGGCAGCAGTTCTAGGCCACGGGCTCCTCAGGCCTGACCCCCGGGTTGGATGGGGACACTTTGGGGAGCTCCCTGGAGCATGCACATTCTATGGGACCCCTTCAAGCAGCTCTGTCTGCTGGCAGCCTGCAGTAGGACCCGCAGCCACCCTTCCAGGTGGGGGACAGCAAGACAAGGTGGGCCAGGTGTGGTTGGTGCACCAGCAGGAAGCGGACCAGGTTCCCAGGTGGAAGGACTCACCCACTCTTCTCACCACAGGGCATGGGGCAGCAGGGGACAGTACCAGGAGTGGATAGAGGAGGCACCCCCGAGGCTTTGGGACCCTAGACCCCCAGTGAATTTGTCCACTGGCAAGTGGCCTGCCCACCTGGTGTCAGAGGCTTCCTTTAGAGGCCACAGGGACATATGTAGACATTCAGACACATCTACGCAGGGAGATGCAGACCCCCCTCAGGACACCCTGGGGGACGTGCCGGTGTGTTCATATTAGCTATGGAGCAGACTGGGGATGAAAAATTGCACATGAGCCCTTTTACTTTAGAAACTTTTAACTGAGCACTTACTACACACCCGTGTGGGCCAGGCACCACAGGACAGTACCTGTGCTGCACATCCGCTTCCCCTTACTAGGGGGACTTACCTGCCCTTTGAACTCAGCCTGGTTCTCCATCTTTCCACCGCTTCCTCTTGTGGCTTCACTGAGGATGGAGTGACACAGCCTATGACAGTACTGGGTACGAGGAAGGCCACCGAGGACCTGTGGACAGATGTACAAATGGAGGCCCAGAGAGATTCCAGGGCTGGTCCAAGGTCACTGACTGGTGGGTGACAGGCCCGGACTCTAAGCCAGACCTGATGAATGCCCAGGCCCTGGGGAGCCTCACTCCCTCTGGCCACCTCTTCTGGCCTCCTTGGCCTGTCCATTTGGCCCAGTTGGCTTGGTTCTTGGGGGACCAGGCCCTGCAGCACTCCTAGGTGAACACAACTGAGGAGGCTTCAGGGTCCTAAGGTGTTGAGAGCCATAGCCGAAGGGATCCCAGCAAACTTCCAGCTGATTGGCTCACAGAGGCCCCAGCAAACTTCCAGCTGATTGGCTCCTCTGCAGTGACTCTCATTGGGCTGTTTCCCTGCCCTTTCAGACCAAGGAGCTGCTCATTGGGGGACTATTTTGGCTCCGCCCACATGACCCAGCCAATCCGCCTCAAGGGCAGGAAGAGTTCCAGTTAAGAGGCTCGCCAGAAGAGCAGGTGGTGGCAGTTGGGCTCTGAGGGAATTCCTGAAGAGCTTGTGTGGTGCGGCCTCTGTGTTCTAAAAATAAAGTTCCTTCCTGCTTGACAAGTGGCTCCTGAATTGTGCCCAGCCAGACTGCGGCACTAGGGGGCCCTGACCTGAGCAGGGCATGGATCCCCCTGTTTAGTTGCCAGGGCCTCTGGGCTCAGGGAGCATGGTCTCCCACTGGCTGCAGCACCCTGGTGGCTCTCAGGGCCAGCAGCCGGGTTGAAGTGTACTGTTTTGAACTTGACCATGTTTGGAGGACAGGCTTTAAGACGGGCAGGGGAGGCAGTGACTCACTAGAGGCCCCGTCCCCACCTGTCAGCCGAACTTCCTCAGGAGGGTTGCTCCGCCCAGCAAGCACCTGAGCCCTGAGGAACAGGTGTGGGGAGCTCCCTGCAGGTGAGCCATGCACTGGGTCCTGGGCGAATGCCTCCTGGGGATTTCTGCTGGGAAATCTTAAAGGCACGTCCCTCACACTCACAGATGGAGGCTTGGGCCTCTCCGGTAACTGGCTAACCTTCTTTTTTTTGGCTTGGGACTAACCTGGTTTTGAAAGTCCTGTTCCCCAGGAAACTCAGGAATCCTGGGTGACTTGGACAGTTGTCACCCCACAGTTGTCATAGCCTCCCAGGTCCCTGAGATGCCCCTAGGGCAGACTGGGTCACTGGCCATCCATCCATTTCACAGATCAGGAAAACAAACAGTGCATTTGGACACGTGAGACATTCTGCTGTCACTGTTGTAAAACCAAGTGCTTTGAATGGCACACTGACACTTGCCAGTACGGGACAGGCTGGGGACAGGCTGGGAAGGGCCAGATCCCTGCATGCTCTGGGGCCAGCTGAGGTGGGGGCAGCTGACTGAGGGAAGGAGAGGCAGCCCCATCCTGGGCGGGTGAGGGTTCTGGCAGGTGTCTGAGGACATGGGTCTGGGGGGATCCGGAAGTCCTAGGGGATGGACAGGCCTGGCCCCTGGGCCCTGTGGGAAGAGGCACCCAGAAGGGAGCTGGAGGGCCTTTGGGTGCCTCCTGGGCCAAGCTCTGGGTTAGGGTTAGGGTTCCGAGGCCCCGCCACCCCTCCCCACCTTCCTGGAGTGGGCTCTTCATGAAGAGACAGACAAATGGAGACAGACAGACACAAGTCTGCCAACAGCCGAGGTCAGCGTCCAGAGAGCGGGATCCAGAGCTTTCGAGGGGCCTCAGCCCTGGGCTTAAGGATCCCAGGAGGAGAGAGAGCAGTGGGGCCTCTGTGGGTGTGACTAGCCTGGTTCCTTGGGCTTGAATGACCTTGGGCAAGTTGCTTGGCCCCTTTGACCTTGGTGCCTCCTCTGCATGCACCTAGTTTAGGCTTTAGCAGGTGCTGGGGGGGGCTCTGCCGGGGGAAGGTCCTCCATCCGAGGAGCAGCTACGTCTGATGTCTGATTGGCTGCGTGTGTGCCTGACTGTCCTGGAGGAGGCCAGGTGGAAGGGACTTGGGTGGACACCGTGACCCTAGGCTCCTGGTCCAAGATCAACCTCTACCCAGAAGAGGACACAGTCCTGAGAAAAAGGAAAAGGCAGGTTTACTGCTTTGCTAGCAACGGAGGAACGCAGGGGGCCTCCTGTCCCAGAGGCTCTGACTCTGCCCACGGGGGTGGGGGTGGAGGGAACAGGGGCTTTTAAAGAGGTGACTCAAAGGCTACAGTTGTCATTCACTTGTTAATGTGGGAGATGGTCACTTCTGAGATCTTGGGGTGCCATTCCCAAGTCTGGATGCCTTCCTCCCTGTGCCGGGTGTGCGCTCAAGGACCCAGGACTCTGCCTGGGGTGGGAAGGAAGGTGATCCTGTTTCCCCTGGGACTAGGGATGGGAGAGGTTAGGGAGGAGCAGGGAGAGGAAATGTGTCCATTTAAAAAATTAATTTGCAGCAGCTGAGCAGCAGGGGTTACCGTCAAAGACAGTCACCTGGGAACTTTAGAGGTGCAAGTCTCTACCCCACCCCAGATGGCTGGATCAGAGACCCCCAGGGGCCGGCCAGTCCCTTGGTGACCTGCTATCAAGTGTCACACTTTCAAAGCCCATTGCCTCCCTGTCACCTCCGTGGAGTAAGAGCTGTGTGGCAGCCACGGCCATGAGCCCATTTCACAGGTGGGAACACCGGGACTTGCCCTGGTCACACAGCAGGCTGTGACAGAGCGGGGTTGGCGCCCAGGCATGGGGCTCCAGGCTCACAGCCTGAACCAGCAGCCACCCTGGGGCTCACAGGCTTTGGGGACATGGTCGAAGCCGCTGGGGCAGGGGTTCCCAGAGCTGTAAGATGGCAAGATTCCAGGTTGAGTCTATTTGCCCCCCAGAGACACAACAGAAGAGCCCTGAGGAGAGGGCTGGGTGAGGGGCAGGGAGCCGGCTGTGACCTCATGGAATCTATTAACCGATAAGACTCCCAGAGGCGCACAGTGAGCTCTGAGCTTCGTGCTCCCCTCCTGCAGCCCAGGTGGCCTTGGCACGAGGCTGCTGGGGAGGCCTCTCCTCTGCAGGGAACGCAAATCTCTCATCCTATTTCCCTTTTCTTTTTTCTATCTTTCTTTCTTTTTTTTTTTTTTGGTACCAGAAATTAAACCCAGGGCCGATTAACCACTGAACCACACCCCCAGCCCTTTTTAAAACTTTTGATTTTGAGCACGGTCTCCCTAAGTGTCTCATGGCCTCAGCTGCTGAAGCTGGCTTTGAACTCCAATCCTCCTGCCTCAGCCTCCAGGGCCACTGGGACTACAGGCGTGTGCCACTGTGCCAAGCCCTTTCCCCCTTTTCTTGCAGCATCTGGCTGTTCAAAAGGGTGGCTCTTGGGCTGGGGCTGTAGCGGTTGAGCGCTTGCCTCGCCTGTATGAGGCACTGGGTTGGATCCTCAGCCCCCACACAAAATAAATAAATAGAACAAAGATACGGTGTCCATCTACAACTCAAAAAGTGGCTCTGCCACAGACTGGTCCTGAGTCCAGGCTCTGTCACTTTGGACTGACTAGGACATCACTTCCTTTGGACGGGTATTTTTCCTCTGCACAGTGGGGGTAGGACTTGGGTGGGGACAGTGCACGGGATCCTGGGTATGGAGGGCTCGGTTGATAAGACCCTCGGCCGCAGAGATGCCATCTCTAGACTGGAAACCTGGCTGACCCCAAAGCCAGCTGGTCCAGGGCACTCGGTCTGGGTGGCCAAGCAAGGCCACATACGTCCTTGTCCCTTTGATGTCCCAGAGGGTGCCGCACTATCCTGTGGTCGGTCCCCCGAGGAGTCCATCAAGAGAATGAGCTGGGGTCCAGGGCTGGGGAGGACTGGCCTGCAGCCCCTGCACTGGGTCAGCCGGGGCCTCCCAAGGGGACAGTCTCTGGCGATGACAGCTCCCTCTGTCATTCTGTCCCCAGAGTCAGGGGTTGGGAGAGCCAAAGCCAGTAGCGGAGCCGCAGAGCCGAGGCTGTGCCTCTCCAGGCCAACTGTCCATGGAAGTGTGGGCAGTGTCCCTGTCTTCTCATCGGGGACTTGCTCTGAGGATGGCCAGGGCGGCACACGTCCATCCTGCCTCCCAGCCACCCTGCAGGGCCTGACCCTGTCCTCAAGGGCAAGGGGACACCTTGGGAATGAAGAGTTTCCGGCTCTGTGAGATGGTCCCCAGGCTGGGCTTCCAGAACCATTCCTGCCAGCAAAACGTCCCTGGGAAGGCAGATGCCGATCTGGGAGGAGAGGCTGGGCTGGGGGGCGGTGGGGGAGGAGGTGGAGGATGCAAATTGCCGTCATGAATTATGCATCAGCCCGAGCTTCTCACACGTTCAGGGCTGAATGAAATTGTGTTTGCCTGGGGAAGGGGGAGGGGAAGACGGGACAAAGATGAGCTGGGCCTGGCCCTGGGAGGTGGGAAAGGGTGTCTCCTAAGGGTTTCAGGAGTGATCTTGGGCAGGACTGGGAAGGTCTTCCTGATGCTGTGTTTTTGCTGTGTGACCTCAGGCCCATCTCCTACCCTTTCTGATCAGCCTTGTTTCCTTATGGACCTCATTTAGATGCAGACCTCTGCCCTGTCTTACCATGGTTGTGAGGGCCCATTGATTTGTGGAATTAATCTATCCAGGGAAATTGTTATTTTAGAAAAGTATTAATGATTATTACTATTAGTGTTTTTGAAGGCTTCCTCTGGGTGCATTGCTAAATGCTTCCCATTTTTTTTTGTGTGTGTCAATATGGTCCCATTTTACAGATGAGAGAAGTGGAGTTCAGAGAGCTCAGGTCACTGGCCTAAGGTCACACAGCTGAGTAAGAGGCAGAACAAGAACTGGATGCAGTTCTTCTGCGGCAGGGTTATGCCTTGGACCATGGGAGGAGGCTATTGTCTCAGCCGACCTGGCTTCTCTCTCCTGAGTAGTGCCAATGTGGGAGAATACTTGGTGTAGCTGATGCCATCTTGGTTGTTCTGGGTTGTTCTCCAGAATGGCTGACAAGAGGCTAGCCCCAGAAGAAACACACGGGGACCTGGCGAATGTGTGATGATTTCAGTGGAAAAGAAAAATAAAAGCCAGTGTTTTTTTTATTGAGCAATTACTCTATTCCAGGCCTATCCCAAGTGTTCCTGGTGGGATAATAGACCAGCATGCCATGAAGGGTCCTTATTGTCACACCCATCTCAGAGATGCCACAGTCGTCTAACACCCCACTCACTCTAAACTGGACACAGGAGTGTCAGAAACATCAACTACTCTGTTATTTGGATTCAAGGACTCAGGAGTAATGAACTGC